ATTGCTTTCAGACACCAACTGCGAGTGACATTTCACTTCAAATGGGTACTTAGAACACCGGTGAAAAGGTTCAGATAGGCCTATGCCTTTACTTTGAGTTTACTCCAGAATAAACCTGCTCAATTTAACGTGTGCAGTAACTAGGAAATCTCCTCTAAAACTTTCCCAACAATAAGTCTACTTATGGGAAGAGAGATATGTTTGTAGTTACCAAAGCTCATCCACTCCTCTTTGCTTACAGAGTTTGTGGGAGAATCTCCTTTTCACATTCAGCGTGTGTAAGTGAAAAATAAGTTGAAGCCAACAATCTAGAAAGTCATAATTTCAATAGCTTTGTGAGAGGTACATGAGGGTCATACATTGTCGAGAAACTCTGTTACTTGTTTCATCTAGGAACCTAGTCTCGAGCACTAGCAAAGAATATGTTACAGAATGTTTAACCCATCCATTGAACTCATGGCCGGCGGGACACGGGGTGGGGGTGTTTTTTTTTAAATGTATGTATACACACATAAGGCCTATTGTAATAAGAATGAGAAATTTTTACTGACCGTTTTCAAGAGGGGAAAACCTTGAATTTTGAAGAACTTAAAATTAAAGTCTTTAAAAGAAACTTCAGAAGTCGTTTCCCGCCTTCTAGGAATCAACATTTTGCCGGGGGCGCACCCTATTTCTCTCTGGGATTTATCTATTGATGGAAAAAAGAATATACCGTATGCAACTACTCAATTGTTTTTATGTATGTAGACACACAACAGGCCTATTTATTATAAAAAGAATGAGAAGGTTTATCTGAAGAGCTTAAAATTCTTTTAAAAACACCATCAAGAAAGCTCATTTCCCGCCATCTAGGAATCAACATTTTCCCGGGGGAAAAACGGAAAACCTCCGGACCCCACCCCAAAAGTGGTCAAAGGACGCAACAGAATTTGAGATTAGTTATAATTTTAGTCAAACGTAAGTCGCTGTTGACTAATTTGAAAACGTTTCTTTTAGAAAGTTGGACTTACGTTTGTACTTCATAGATTGTTGGCAATCAAACTACTGCTACTCCGGACCACATACGCTAATCATGTTTAATCGAGTTTTTATACAATGTACAGTTATACAATGATCCCTACCTGGTGTTGGATTGGCAAAAACAAATCCTTGATTTATTTGCAAATCTCATTCAATGGTAATATTATTTTTAGCTGAGAGATAGTATAACCTTAACTAAAAATAAAAACAAACCAAACAAAAAAAAAAGAACATACCAATTGGCATAAGATGATATCTTGTTTATGAATATTCAATGATCACTACCTGGTGTTGGATTGGCAAAACAAATCCTTGATTTATTTGCAAATCTCATTCAATGGTAATATTATTTTTAGCTGATAGATATTCCTTAACTAAAAATAAAACGAAACCAAACAAACAAAAAGCATACCAGTTGGCATAAGAATTAGAATAAGAATAAGTACAGTATTGTCTAGCCATAAGCCTACATTGAGTTTAAATTTATGTTAAGCCCCCCCAAAAAACCTGTTAACAAATACAGGCTATACCATTCACAGTAAAAATCAATGGCATGTTGCATGCATCGATAATTACACTGGTTTTGCATAGCTTTAAAAAAACAAATTGGGAGAATATGTACGTGCACACTCCTAAATATTTGTATTAAAACTTATGAAGCACAGGCCTAGGTAAGAGTTGAAACTAAGCTCTCTTCTTTACTTTCTTTACTTTACATAATTTGTTCGTCTTCTTGGTAACCTGAAAATACAAAATCAAACCGTCACCGTAAGGTACAAACCATTCATATAATACTTGCATACACTTCACTGACCTGTTACCAATTTAAACAGATTCATAATAAACGTTCTGTGAAGTTAGCAAAACTGAATCGTTACCATCTAAAATATAGGCCTATGCAAGTAAGTGTTAAAAGTGTTGGTTACGATATATCGTTTTCCGATTCGCCATAATGCAGGTGCTTTACCCAGTTTTTCACATTCGCAGATTCATCTTCTTTACTAAATAAGTAAGTAAGTAAGTAAGTAAGTAAGTAAGTAAGTAAGTAAGTAAGTAAGTAAGTAAGTAAGTAAGTAAAAGTAAGTAAGTAAGTAAGTAAGTAAGTAAGTAAGTAAGTAAGTAAGTAAGTAAGTAAGTAAGTAAGTAAGTAAGTAAGTAAGTAAGTAAGTAAGTAAGTAAGTAAGTAAATAAATAAATAAATAAATGTATTGTGTAATAAAATGCCTCCAACGGGATACGAATCTGCGACCTCTCGCTGTCAAGGCGAGCGTCACATTACACAATGCATTTATTTATTATTCGTTCAGAGTACATGCCACACGATGTAC